TCAAGGACTCTCGTCTAACTCTTAAGACTATACAGGCTATTAATCCTGCCTCCCTCTTGCTGGCCTCACTGGAAGCACCAGAACATGACTGTGTAGAAACCACTGAGACTGTGTACTCCGCGAGACCAGACCTGCAGGACACTCCCCTTCTGAACCCTGATCTCACTTTGTTTGCAGATGGAAGCAGTATGGTAATAGATGGGATTCAGAGGGTAGGAGTGGCTGTTGTGACGATGGAACAAACTGTCCGGTCAGGGGGCTCTACCCCCAGGGACATCATCCCAGAAAGCTGAGTTGGTAGCACTCACTTGGGCCTTCGAACTAGGAAAAGACAGACGACTGAATGTGTTCACAGATTCCCGATATGCATTTGCCACTTTACATGTTCATGGTGCTATTTACTGGGAGAGAGGCCTCTTGACTACAGAAGGGAAAGATATAAAAAATTCAAAAGAAATTTTAAACTTGTTGCAGGCTGTATGGTGGCCCACTCGGGTGGCGGTAGTACACTGCCCTGGGTATCAAAAAGGCAATACGACGGAAGCAAGAGGTAATAGAGCCGCCGACCTGGCAGCAAAGCGGGCTGCTTATGGGAGATTTGTTGCCCGAAGGCACGAATCTTGGTGGCACCACTCCTACAACCGCCCAAGTATTCCAATGCCGAGCTAGCTTGGGCCAAATCAGAGAGAGCAATAGAAAAGAATGGGTGGCAGGTACTGCCCGGAGAGAAGGTGTTCCTGCCGGAGCACTTGGGACATTTCGTAATTCAAGAATTACACAGCAAAACCCATTTAGGCAAGACAGCCATGGCAGAATTACTTGGACGTTACCTTTACATATCCAGACTCTGGACTCTGTGTGCTGCGGTGGCCTATCTTTCTAAGCACCTAGACCACACGGCTGCTGGGTGGCCCAATTGCTTATGGACCCTCGCGGCTGCTGCTACTCTTATCAAGGAAACAACTAAGCTAACTTTTGGTCAGCAACTTTATATGGTTACTTCCCACTCCCTTGAGCCTCTTTTAAACAGCCCCCCCCAAAAGATGGTTATCAAATGCCAGGATCATCCAGTGTCAGGCTTTGTTGCTGGATCCAGATCGAATTTGTTTCCTGCCTGCAACTTCCCTCAACCCTGCCACATTGCTTCCTGATGATAATCCAGATGGACCAACTCATGAATGCCTTGACATTCTCCAGACCATCACTAACTAACTTCAGACCAGACCTGACCAATGTGCCTTTGTCCCAAGTGGATGCCATGCTCTTCACAGACGGAAGCAGCTATCTCCATAAAGGTACTAGAGTGTCTGGGGCAGTCACTGAGGTACTGAAACTGAGGTAATTTGGGCAGAGCCCCTAGAAGCTCACACCTCTACACAAAAGGCTGAACTTATAGCCTTGACTCAGGCCCTAAAATGGGCCAAAGACTGTCAATATCGATACAGACAATAGATATGCCTTTGCCACTCTACACGTCCACGGGGCCATTTATAAAGAAAGAGGCCTGTTAACCTCGGAGGAAAAAGCCATCAAAAATGCCTCCGAAATTTTGGACTTGCTAGTGGCTATTTGGGAGCCCAAGAAGCTTGCAGTAATACATTGCAAGGCCCACCAAAAGGAAGACAACCCAATAGCTCAAGGGAACCAATTGGCAGACTCTACTGCCAAACAGATCACACTAAAATCAGTGGGGTCCACTGCATTGCCTGTGGTTACTCTCCCTCCACCTCGGCTGGACACCCCAGTTTATTCTGATTCGGACATAAAGTTAGCAGCAACCCTGAGATCCCAAGCTAATGCTGATGGATGGCACATCCTCACCGATGGTCGTATTCTCCTGCCAGAAACACTTGGGGCCCAGATACTACGAGAGACTCATCAAGCCACGCATTTAGGGGGAACTAAACTTGCTCAATTGCTCCGGAAAACTTACTTTATTCCTAATCTTACAGCCAAAGCCAAGGACATTAGTCTAAGATGCCCCCACTGTGCTCAAGTAAATCCCAAGGGCAAATCATCTGGTGATCCCTCTCAACAATGACAGAGAGGACAAAATCCAGGAGAACATTGGGAGATAGATTTCACTGAGATGGGTCCTGGACGCCATGGATACAAATATCTACTGGTCCTAGTGGATACTTTTACGGGACAGTCTGAGGCCTTAAGGACTGAATCGGCTTTGATTGTAACCAAGAAATTGCTGTCTGAGATTGTGCCTCGATTTGGTCTGCCTTTAGTAATGGGGTCTGATAATGGTCCTGCTTTCATAGATCAGACAACCCAAAATTTAGCTAAGTGTTTACAGGTTGATTGGAAGCTCCACTGTGCCTACCGGCCTCAAAGTTCTGGACAGGTAGAACGTGTAAATAAAACCATCAAGGACACAGTTTCCAAGATGGCTCTGGAGTCTGGCGAAAACTGGGTGAGTCTCCTACTTTTTGCCCTCCTGCATGCTGGATACACCCCCTACATCCAGGGTATTACCCCCTTTGAGGCTATGTATGGGAGACCCCCCCCCACCTCTGGTACCCAAGCTCCATAGTGTCCATTCTGAAACCATACGTAACCAAGATCTCATTAAGTCCCTTCAGGTTCTACACCCAGTGCTTCAAGAGGCTCATCGCCTCTTCAGAGAACATCATCAACTGAACACTGACCAACTGGACTCCCCCCCCCCCATTGCAAAGCCCTCAGAATCAAGGATTTGATTCCCTCCTAAAATCAGTGGGGAATGTAAAAGCCCCACCACCACAGACATCAAAGGTTCTAGTTTAATTCCCAGTTCCCACGCCTGCCATGGGGTTAGATATTCATGTTTACCATTTCTGGAATGTATGGTTGTAAACTGCTTGTAAACACCCTGCCCTTCCTGGACTCCCAAATGTATTGTTTTTCCCATAAATGCTCTACCCCTCCCAGATTCTTGGAATATACTGTTCTTGCCATAAAAAAAAGAGTCCCCTCATTGTTACAGATGTGACATGTGTTTGCCAAACAGGATGTAGTTTTAGGGTATAAAAGCTACTCTCCTCCCTGGATGGGCACTGGTCTGATCCTTCCCTGCGTGGAGGCTCTCAGTCAGTCCCTGGCCAGGAATAAAGGCTTGTCCTAAATTCCAATTGGCGGTCCATGTGTCTTGGTGTTTGTCGGTCGGTACCATTTGTTTCGTTTCTGGTTGCAAGTCCAGAACACCTATAAATGGTCATAAAGTCAGTGAAAGAACAGGCTGAAAGCCCAAGGAAACTGGTCCCAGTCCAGCACTCACACAGCCTAGGGCACTAAAAACACATGCCAGCTTTGGGGTCAAGAGAGACCTGAGTTTTATTTCAGTCTCACATCCTGACTGCATGAGCTTTAGCAAACTACCTCCTCTCTCTAAATTTTAGTTTCCTCCTTTTACCATTAAGTAATAGTGACACTTATCCTACAAAAATGTTGGGATACATGAGATATTCTAGATAAAGTAAAAAATTTCTCATAAGTAAATATTAGATTTTCCATGTAATATAAAACTTTTCAGTTGTGTTTTAGTTGAGAGGAAGCAGAAAACTAAGGAATCATTTCATAATAGAAAAGCATAATTAAGGGAAGAGAAACTGGAAGTAAAAAAATTAAGATGAATTATGTACATATCAAACTCCCATGATGAATGCAATCATTATGCACTGCAAACATACAAGTAAAAATTAAACATTTAAAGAGGAAATCATAATTAGCAAAGACATGGATTAATACAGGTGATATTTCAAATGAATAGGCGGTTGCTCACTTGCAACAGGTATTTGACTGATGCTTTGTTGTCAGAGACCATTAATAAGGAAAGTTTTGCCTGCATTTTATAGTTATGTTTACATTTCCTAATTTTCCTTCTTCCTCTTTTTAATTAGGTCTCTGCATTATAATGATGCACTGTCTGTATCTTTGTAGTTTCCAAGCAATGGAAGATTGGCTAAAGATTTTGAAGAAATATTTAGAGCTATGAATTGGTCTGATTTCACATCTTTGGGACAAAAATCCAACCCCACAACTTAAAGGAGAGGTTTGATTTAATTTTGCTTGTGGTTTCAGAGGTTTAGTCCATGGTTAGTTGGCTCCAATGCAAGAATGTCATGGTGGAAGGGTATGGTAGAGCAAGGCTGTTCAATTTATGGTGGCTAGGAACAGCACCACAGAGAAAGGGGTCAGGAACCAATATAGTACCTAAGGTCATACCTCCCTGACCAACATAAACACACCCAGAAACGTGCTTTACTAAACCCCCATGCAGCTCATAATCCAATTAAATTGACAACCCACTTTAAATGTCACAAGCTATAACTAGTAATATGTGGTTATATACTAAATGTAAAGATACTAAAAATTGTTTTCAGAATACTAATAATGACCCTAGAGGAATGTTCAGGAAATACATTACAAAAAATCAAGTAAAACCTGTCCTGTGTTGGAGGTGAGCAATAAATCAATCATTTCTGCATACCTGAAGTCCAGCTAGTTTTGCCGTATAATAGAGGAACAAATTATGCAGAAAGAGAAAGACAGAGAAATAATCTTTGCCAATAAGGAAGTAGGCTTAGAGAACTTGCAGTGAATCACAGTAGAGCTGATTAAAGTCCAGGTACTCTAATGAGGATAATAAAGATTAAAATTAAAGATCACATACTTTCATTTCTAAAGATGATATTGTAGGATGAAGTTCATTTTCTTTTCTCTTTTTACAATACGTAATATAAATGAAAATATACCTAAAGCCCTTTGCTGGCCAAATACCACTAATCAGGTTTAGCTATATATGTTCATGCAACCCCCTTACCTTTAAGAGCTGCTGGGTTGGGGCTGGGAGTGTAACTTAGTGGCAAAGTATTACCACTAAACGTGCACAGCATGTGCAAAGCACTGGATTCCATCCCTAGCGGTGCAAAAAAGTTACGTGTTTGTACAGGATCACGTGCTCAGAACCTGCCTGTTGATGATAACACCTCCATCACAGTTGAATAAGCAACTGTTCCTGGAAACCACTGGCATATACAAGTGTGTTGGAAACACCAGGCTTTTGTTTCCTCCTCTGGTTCAAAGGAATCGTCCCTGCGCTCTCCCAGAGAATACTGGTAAGATGAATGGGTGGGAAGCAATGGAATTTTTCCTATGGTACTCCCTGCAGAAGTTAGGCTAGGTTGGCATTGTCCTCAGTAAGAGTTATCGTGATAATGGTCCAAAGTCTTGCAGGAATTTTTTTTTTTAATTTGTTTGCTTTTATTTGTTTGATGCTACATACCTGGAACACCAAGGGCAGTTCTGTGCCAAGCCACAAGAATATTGAAACCCCAGGACTTCCCCTGAGGCACCAGCTTCCTTTTGAATTTGGGGCAAAAGGAAAATTTTCCCAAGGGTACAAATTTGAGAACTTCCTTCTGGTTCACATTTCAAACAAGGGTGTACTCAATGCACGCCCTGGCACCAATGGTCAGAGTGAAGAGGCAGAGATCAGAAGACCTAGGTACAGAGCACTTTCCTGAGACCTGGACCAGCAAACCTTTGGCTTCCAGTAAGTATTATAAAGTGCCACTGATTTGACTTCTCAAAGCTGTGGTGATCTGGAAGCTTTTTAGCAATTGAGCAATTGCAAAATTGAAAATTGGAAATTTCATAATTGAGCAATCTTGGTATTTTATGGTTTTTCTTTATACTTTTTTAAGACTGTACAGACAGAGGGAAATAGAATCTCTAGGTAGTATACTGATTAAGTCCCAGATAACATTACAATAAATAGATTAAGCAATGAGTATGGGAAGAGTTTCCCAAAAGTGATTGAAGAGCTAAATTGAAAATTTCTGGGCAGGGTTGGGTAATGAGAAATACAGGTAGAACTATGTAACATTTAATTCTTCTATCTTGGAAAGAATAGCAGAGTGGTTGAGACTCACTTTCAAGTTAAAATTTGGCTCTGGTTCTTTTTTAGTTATGTGATGAAAGGCAAGTTGTTTAATCTTTGTAGTAACTCTTTCCTTGTGTATAGCTGTGTATTTTATTATTATAAAATTATACAAGCTTTATAGTATTATTGTGAGGATTTACACGATACTTCTTAGAAATACTTGGAATGTCTTACATACTCAGTAAATGATAGTCATTATGAAATAATCATAGAATATCTGACTTGTAGAGCACCTGACAATCAGCATTTACTTAGCTCCTTCAGTAAATTACTACATACTGAATGCTCTTCAAAAGATTATCTCACTTGATGCTTATGGAATTCTTGTGAAAATGGTAATATTATTTTAAAGATGAATTATTTTTATAGATGAAGAATTGGAAGCATAGAGAGCTACTGTAATATATTCAAGTCACATCTCTCATCTTAAGTAGCATGAGATTTAAGCCAAAACCCAAACCCCACAGACAGCTCACAAAATCATCATATTTTACTGCTTTATCTGCGGTCTCATTTTATGGTGAATGGGGAGAAGAGAGAGGAATAGCCCTCATGGGTGACAGTGGAGCCCTTCATGGATGATGGAAGGTCAGAGACGCTCTTCAAAGGATACTTTGCTATCCAGGGCACAAGGAATATCACTGTCATCAGGAGTGTCTGTGAGCATCAGCGTGGTGGGTGTAGGATCCAATATGGGACTTAGGTGCAAGTCACCTCACTTTTCCTCTCTGAAATGGAGTTTTTCATTTGTAAAGCAACCTACCTCAGAACATAACAGCTCTGAGACACAAGAAAAATAATGCATACAGATGTGCACATTAAGGCCTTATCCTGGGTCTTCTTAGCTCACTCTGAGCTAGCTCACTCTCAGTTCTACTAGCAAGGTGAAAATTAAGTACAAGCTCTGTTTGAAATCTGAACCACTAGGAAGTTCTTAAATTAACACCGCATATAAAGGTTTTACTCTTGTCCTTTATGAACTAGAAAAGCTTTAAAAATAATTGTCTTATCAGAAAGGAAATGATTTTAGAATTGTTGGCAAAAAAGCCCTCAAACAGCTTGTAGTAAGTACAATGCTTTAAAAATATGTCACGTGTGGCTAATCTCTCCTGCACAGTCCTTGTATCTGGGCTTTGAGCTCCATTACTATCTTAGCTAAATGTTTCTGGGAAGTTGGCTGAGTCTCACGTACATGGGTGAACAGAGGGTGATGCGCTGGAACCCTCTTATTCCTAATTCTTCTTTAGGCAGTAAAATTGGAAGAAAAAACCTCATGAATTTGATATAAAATCTCAGGGGTAATTTTTTATTTTGTCCATGCTATCGGGGGATGGGCAAGATTTAAGTGGGTTATATTCCTTTTCCTTAGGCAGAATTGCTCTTCCCAGGAACAAAGGCCTTTGGCCTCATTAGCTTGGCATTTTTCCTAAGAATCGCACTGGGCGGAGTGTGCACGTCGTATCAGGCTAGGGCCAAAGGCAACACAACTTCAACATTCCCCTGTAAAGTTGCAATTTGCTCAAATTGCACTACTGTCATTATATAGTGTATCTAAAGAAAAAAAAAAAAAACTTTTCCTAGGAAGGGTAAGTATGATTTTAAGGTCTAAGAAAGTTCCTCACTGGTCTTCAAAGACCTCTCACCTGCCACTTGCTTCTGTCTAATGACCAAAAGTGTGCTTTTGAGAACATGTTAATCTTAAGACTTTCAGTCTTTGCTCCCTCCTACTTACACACACACACACACATATATATATATGAATAAGTTTATGCAGTGCAGAAGAAAAGGAAGGGAGGAACTGTACATGACAGCTGAATCATCAAAAGCCCTCTGAATCATCAAAGGCCCTCTTTCTTCTGTCTCTTCCCTGTTTTACCAGGACTGCCCTGGCACTTCCCTTCTCAGGGTCTTCAACGTTAACAGTGTTCCTCATTCAAGGTAAAGGTGGTCCCTGACACAGTCCTAGTTTTTCAGATGTCACCTGCCTGCCACCCTTGCCCGATTCCCCTTCCATCCCTTGGTCCTCTCACAGCAATGGAGTCACCAGGAGCCATTAGAGAAAGAACTTCTCTGTCGGCCTCTGCCAGAGTCAACCACCTGGGGCTAGCAGTGGAGCACAGGTCGCCCTGGTCTTTATGTATTAGCTTCCCTCTGGAGAAGGCGAGGCCTTGGCATGACAAAGGCTTATCTTGAACTTCCTCTCAGCTATCTGTATTTTGCCCCTGGCCTCCTGGCCTCTGCTCTTATCTCCCCTCCTTGGCGTTGGTGTACCCCAGGGCACTCATGTCAGAGCTGCTGACAACATAGGAACAAAGTGCAGAGAAGACAGTTCCTTCAGTGGTCTCCACACGTTCCCGGATGTGGTGAGCACAAGCTGTTCGGACACATTCTCCCTACTGTAGCTACCGTCAGGGGGTGCGACCTCAGGAGCAGGGAGGAAACTAGTACAGAAGAAATGGAGAAGGGGCACCCCAGAACTCACCTCATCACTCTGAACTAAACGATCCAGTGGCTCATCAATGCAATATACTGTTGTTTGGAGACTGACACGTAACTCTTATTTTCAATAGGTGAGAACAGACAGCCGTAATGGAAACCAAATCTCCAAAGAGTCCAGGTATTTGAGGGGTGTGAACTCAGAAGGAAAATCTTTTTTTCTCATACATGATCAATTTCATCATGCTAATAAGGATATGAATGTTGGTTTTGGTGCGATAATTGGTGGCATGCTGGGACAATGATTCTTGGTTTGGAGAATCTAGTAGAAATTGTTGGATTTAGTTATTTTGTAAGAGCTGACCTGTCTAGGAATTTCCCATTTTCTGATTTTCACGGGCCAAGTGTTCCATTTGTTGCTTGGAAACAGCGCTGGTAACAAACTAAGGCCCAGCAATGACAGGTTCTATTTCCTTAATTTTGCATGGTATTCTCACTTAGAGGAACTGTATAAATTGCTATCGAGGCTTATGATGAGGTAACTCAAGGTATATTATTCAAATGTCTTTGCTCATATTCACATAGCTCATTGTAGGGGAGTGGCTAGAGGAGTGGCATCTAGGATGAGGTGACTTAGAAATAAAATTTATCCAATCCATCTTGAAAGTATTTACAAAGAACCCACCATTGTAAGTCTGTATGCTTCCTAGAGTACAAGAATTAATGGCCATTGCCTTTAAGGAGTTTATAGTCTTCTTAGGAATTTAAAATAAACACATACATACAGCCATATGGGGAAATTAAGATTGGTACATTTAATCAGGCTGTACTTTAATCACGAATTAAGTACAAAAGCACTGGAATCTGAAGAAGAAAAAGCCTATCTGTAGTTGTAGGAATGCAGAGATGTTTATGGAGAAGGCATTTGGGCTGAACCTTATAGGAGTACAGGGTTTTTAAATGCATTGGAAGAGGAGGGATGACATCAACAAAAACAACAGAGTAGTTTAGAGGCAGGATGTATCAGAGCAGAGTGTGGTTAGAGGCAGGGTGGAAAAGAGCAGAGAATGAGGATGAGAAAGGTGGTCCCATCTTGTACAGACCCTGATCCTGAGGCATTTAAGTGTGAACATGGCATTGTCACATACTTTGGAGAGGTCTCTTCATTTAAATTTTTCAATACTAGAGATTGAACCACTCTGCAATGAGATATGTCCCTAAGCTTTAAAAAAAATTTTTTTTAAATATTGAAACAGAGTCTCAATAAATCATTATTACCCAAGCTGGGTTCAGAGTTGCAATCCTCCTACTTCAGTCTCCCAGAGCACTGGGATAACAGGGGTGCACCCCTGCACCTGATTGTTAGATAGGTCATATTTTTAATAGTGTTATTGTAGCAATTATAATCGACATACAATGAACTACACATAGTTAAAGCCTACAACCTGATCAGTTTTGATGGAAATGTTCACCTGGGAAACCATCACCGCTATCAAGGTAGTGACAATATCCATCACTCTCAAAAATTTTCTTAGCAGTGTTTGTAATTCTGTGTTCTAGCACCCAGTCCCACTCCCCATTGCTCTACATTCTGTCACTCTTTGCACTTATTAGAGTTTTGTGTAAGTGGAATTATAGAGTGTGCACTTATTTAATTTTTTCATTCAGAATAATTCATTTGAGATTCATCCGCTGTTATGCATATCACTACTTTGCCTCTTTTTTTTTTTTTTTTTTTTTTTGGTTTTTCTCCGGTACCGGGAACCGAACTCACGACCTTGCGCTTGCCAGGCAGGCGCTTTTGCCGCTGAGCTAAATCCCCAGCCCCTACTTTGCCTCTTTTAACAAGTGGTCCTCTCTTATATGGTGGTGCTATAATTTGTTCATTCATTTACCTATTGACAAGCATCTAGGTTATTTCCAGTCTTTGCCAACTACAAAGAAAGCTGATATAAACATATTGTACTTACATTTTTTGTAAAAGTAGTACTTCAAGAGTGGGATGGCTAGTCATTTAGTAGGAATGTGTTTAACTTTTTCCAATTTATCTGTTTGATTTTTTTAAAGTTTTGTTGAAGTACAATTGACATAGAATAGGCTGACATCTTTAGGTCTACAGTTTGATAAAGCCGTCACCCAAATCAGGGTAAGGAGCATATGCACCAGTCTCTCTTATTTTGTTGTTCTACCTCTCACTCTATCATGTACACACTCTCCCAGACAGCCACTGACTTGCACTCTCTCTCTGTAACCATTTTGTTTATTCTAAAGTCTTATGAAGCACAATCCTGTTGAGACTCATCTAGGTTGTAGAACAGGTGTGGTGGCACGTGCCTGTAATCCCGGCACCCAGAAGGCAGAGGCAGGAATATTGCTGCAAGTTCAAGGCCAGCCTAGCCTATACAGTGAGTTCAAGACTAGCCTGTACTACATAGCAAGACCTTGTGTCCAAAAAAAAAAGAGAGATTCATCTATGTTGCTTTATGTATCAGTAGTCTGTTCCTTTTTGTCCCTGAATAGTATGCCATTACTATTGAGCATTTCACAATTTATTAATTCATTCATCTGATAATGAACATCTAAGTTGCTTCTATTACAACTACTGCAATATTTGCCCCTATTCTTTAGCTATTACAAATAAAACTGGCAAATCTTTGCACTGTTGTATATTCTTTGTTGGTAAATTTCAAAGAATTTTCCAATAGTTAAATTTATCAAAGTAAAGTTGTTCATTACTGCATCATCAATAGAATCAGTAGTTAGGTGTTTTCTTTCTTCCTGATATTGGCAATTTGCATATTCTCTATTTTTCCTGATGTGTCTTGCTAGATAGAAGTTTGTTATTGTAACTGATTTTCAAGAGATTAATTTTTGGTTCACTGGTTTTCTCTAGTTTTTCTATTTTTTCTTTCACTGAGTTCCATTTTGACCTATTTCTTTCCATTAATTTACTTTAACTTTAATTCATTCCTTTTTTTCTAGTTTCTTAATGTGGAACATGAGGTTATTGATATGAAGACACCCTGCTTTTCAAACATAGGCATTTAGTGCAATAAAGTTTTTCCCTGAGTACTCCTTTAGTGGCACCCTCAAATTCTGATATATTGTGTTTTCAATTTTCATGCAGTTCAAAAACCTGTTTACCTTATTCTAGTATTTATTCTTTGATTCAGGACTTATTTACTTCAGGAATATATTTTTGAAATTTTTTATCGATTTCTAGTTTGATTAGAAATTTTTCTCTGAGAATATAATTTGTTTTACTTGAATCCTTTCAACTTAAAGAGACTTGTTTTATAGCCCCAAATATGGTCAATCTCTGTTAATGTTGCTGTGCCCTCAAAAGGAGTGATCATTCTACTGTTGTTGAGTGGAGTATTCTATAGATACAGATTACATTGGTGGGTAGTATTGTTTAATTCTATAATATCCTTGCTGATTTTTTTTTTTTTACTTATTTGCTCTATCACTTATTAAAAGAGGGATATTTATTATTTGACTGTAATTAGGGATAAGTCTATTTTTCCTGGTATTCCATTAGGGATTTTTTTTGTTACTGTAAACTTTTGTTGGTTTTTTGCGGTCTAGAACACATGGTGATCTTTCTACTTCAGCTTCCTAAGTGCTAGGGTTACAGGCATGCATCATCATGCTTGGCAGTTCATGTGTTTTGAAGCTGTGTATTAGGTGTACCCTTTATGCTATGCTTTCTTGGGGTTGTTATGTACACTTAGGATTAGTTGAGCTCTTTATTGTTATGAAATGATCTTCTTTGCTTTGAAATCTATATTGATGTTAATCTAGTCATGCATGTTTTTTTTCTAATATTTCACTTGTAAATTGTTTGTCTCTTTATATTTAAAATATGTTTCTTATGGGCAGCATAGAATTGTGTCTTGCTTTTTTGTGCAGTCTGACAACCTGTGCCTTTTAATTGAGGTATTTAGATGACTTACATTCAGTGTTACTTGTGATATGGTTAGGCATAAATGTATGATATTATGGTTTCTAATTGCCTCCTTTTTGTCTTCCCCCGTACCTCCTTCTGGATTGAGCATTTTTAAATTATTCTATGTTATTTCCCTTGTTGGCTTAGTAGTTATTACACTTAACTCTATTATTTCAGTCATTATTTTTGTTTTATATACATTTTAAACATATTACAGTCTAATCTCAAGTGTTATTATACCAATTTACAAATAATGCAAGGACTTTAAATCTATTTCCATTTTCCCTTCCTGGCCTTTATGTGTTTTACTTATACATCTATTATAATCTGCACAAGGCTTTGTTCTTTCTGTTTAGATAACCAATTGATTTTTTAAATAATAAGAACGTCTCACATATTCACCATTGTAGTTACTATTTCAATGTTCTTAATTTAGTTTATAAATTCAGATTTCTATTTGGTATCATTTTTCTGCCTGAAAGACAGGCACAAGCTTCCTGTTGCAAGTTCTTTCAGCATTTGCATATCTGAAAATGTCTTGAAATTTCCTTCATTTTTTAAAGCTGTTTTTTGCTGCATATAGCATTCTGAATGATAGTATTTTTTGAGTACTAGAAGTATAATGTTCCACTCTTGCTTGTATTGTTTTTGGTAAGAAATCAGTATCGGGGCTGGGGCTGAAGCTCAGCGGCACAGCACCTGCCTGGCAAGCGCGACATCGTGAGTTCAATTCCCCGTACCGGAAAACAAAACATAACAAAAAAACAAAAAACAAACAAACAAAAAAAAAACAAAGAAATCAGTATCTTGCTTCCTTACCTATGTTCCGTACGCATCATGTCCCCCATGCCACACACACTGACTGATCTTAAGTTTTTTTTTATCTTTATCAGTGATTTTGAGCAATGCACCTTTGGTTCTTCTCCTTATGTGTCTTGTGTTTTATGTGTGAGGCTTAATGAACTGCTTGGATCTCTGGGTTTATATTTTTAGAATTTTTCTTTGAATATTTTTATCTGTCTCTCACTATAAGGAACCCCAATTACTTACATACTGGGTCATTTGAAACTGCCCATATATATAATGTATATATACATGTTTTTAAATTTTTTATCATTTTTTATATCATGTTTTTGAATTTTTTTAGTAACTTTTTATCTTGAAAATTCTTATTCGTATGCTTTCAGGTGCATATTTTATTCCAGAATATTCAATCTGCTGTTACTACCATTTGTGATATATTGTTTTTAAGATATTGTAATTTTCACCTCTAAAAGTTCACTTTGGATATATTTTATTTTATATCACTACGTAATTTCTTGAAAATATAGTCATAATAACTGTTTATGACCTTTTATGCCAATTCTAACATCTTTGTCAGTTATGTATGTATGAGGACTCATTAGTTATTCTCTTCAATATATGTCATGTTTTCCTCCCTTTTTTGCATGCCTGATCATCTTTGAGTGCCAGACATTGCACATTTTACTATTTTGGGTACTGGATTTTTGTTGTTACTATAAATCTTGAGTTGTGTTCTAGGAAGCAGCTGAGTTTCTTGGGAACAATTTGATCCTTTTCAGACTTGCTTTCCTGATTTGTTAGGTGGTTCTGGCACAGTCCTCAGGCTCAGGCTAATTATTCCTCACACTGAGGCAAGATCTTCTTGGGACTCTACCTAACATCCTATAAATTATAAGTTTTTCCAGGCTGGCTGGAGGGAACAGGCAATTTTCTGAAGTGAGCACTGAATGATGTTGTCTAATCTTTTCTGGTAGTTCTTTCTCTGGACTCAGGCAATTTCAGTGCACACAGGTGCTGATCAATACTATTGAACACATGAGGACAACTGTGTATGTTGCCTTTCAGCTTAGGAAGCATAACAAAACCATCTGCTACTGACGATGAGGTGGCAAAATGGTTGGACAAAGAGATTCCCAAAACATTAACATCTTCTTTGTAAGTGTTAGAGTAATAGGAGCTTTTTTTTTTTCTATTTGCCAAAATAAGTACAACAGTTGCATATTGCTTTCATTATTTTGTTAAAATAAAAATTTTAAGGGCTTAGTTTTACCTTCACATGCAGGATATAGGTCTAGTTTGCCTTTAGCTTTAGAAAAGAGAGACTTCACTAAAGATTTAGATAACCTTTATTGAATAGTGAAAATAGAATCGGAATTCTGTACAGGTGTTGAGACCATTTTTCTAGTATCAAGTACTTTTAGTAAGGCAGCTGTATTGATCTTTCTTGTTCCATAACTTTTGTAGCAACTCCATCTCCCCCCTGAAAATCACTTTAGCACCTAATTTTTTAATAGAAAGTGGTTTTGCTTTTATTTACTAGGCCAAAGAGAAATGTCAAGAAACATCTTACTCCTATAATGGAAATGCACAGAAAACTTTGTTCACATCTTAGACAATCTATGACATACTCCAGAAATGGAAAGCCAGACATGTATGAGCTGAATTAATGTGCTTCTATACATCATCTAAATGAAAGCCACAAGTGTAGACAAATAAAAAGCACACACTTAGTCCTTTGTTTTCTTAGGCTATTGTAGATGTTCTTTTGAATAACTGAATAAGTAGAAAACCTTTCCAGAGACAAACAGTGTTTTCCAACTGTTCTTTTATGATATTTACGAGGGAACAAACTGAGTCCTGTTCACTTTCTTTTATTAGGCAACCAATTTAAATTTTATTATGAAAATGAAGTCTATAAACAAGATTACTTTATCAAGTCACCACCTCCTCCACTTTTCTTCTCCTCAGTAAGTATTCACTACAGTTTAATGAGCTCTCCCCAGTTTCATGAGCATTTCTGAATGTCTTTTTTTTTCATCTGAGAGTTAACTAAGATGCAAAATGTTTTCATTTTTTTTAGGCCTCTTGGAAAAGGCGGTTTTTTATCCTGTCAAAGAATGGGGAAAAGAGACTTAGTCTTTCTTATTACAAAGACTATCATCACCGAGGTTCCATTGAAATTGATAGGTGTGTATCCAAGCAAGAACACTTTTATAACAACAAATACTTCCAAGTCACATGCTAACAAGCTGAATGCAAATTTGAATTTAAATTGTTGACAGAAGGAACCAAGAAGTTTCAAACCTATTATAATATTTGTAGCTGAAAAGGAACTAAAATAATAAACATTTTGGATAAAAGCAGTTAAATATTTAGTTCCTAGTATATGTTATAACTGATATATCTTTTGTTAGTAAACATTCAGTTAAAAGAACTTTAGTTCACTTAATTTGTAGAGGGGAGGAGCAGATTAAATTGCCATTTTGTAAAGCCAAGATGGGTTTTAAAAAATATTTAGATCTGTTCTTTTTGTCTTCTTTCTAAGAAATAAGGTAAAAACAAACAAACAAAAAAACTGGAAAAGATGATGATTTGTGGAATTAAGAATCCAACCAAAATAGGACCTTTGAATTAATTTTCAGATTGAGGAACATATTTCCAGTTAGTGATAAACTAGATCCAAAGTCCAAATTTATTGTCTATAATAACATATTCAAATAATAACAATTAAAATTATTGAACAATCTTAAAAAACAAATTGAGCAGATTGTAAGTTTTATCCCCTTTGAATCCTAATACAAAAGTGAGTTTCCTTCCTAATTTTGTGTGTACATTGGGTTAATGCTATCTGTCTCCATCTAACAGAAATTCCATTGTTGAAGTTGGTGTAAGGATCCCTGAGAAGATGCAATCTGTGCAGAAGATGTTTAAATGCCAACCTGATCAGGTGATGTCCATTAGAACCACAAATCGGGATTATTTCCTCATTTCTGAAGACAGGTGAGTAATACAATAATTGTGTGTCTCCTGTGTGTAACACAGATCAGCTAAGAAAGCATTGTAAAATGATAAATAATAAATATACTCTGACTAAAAACTGTGCAACTATGTACTCATATGCCATCTCAGCAGATTTTACTATTTGTTAAAATGAATTTTACAACCCACTATAATAGTTTCTTAGGACTTCTAATAAAATACCACAAACTGAGTGGCTTAGAACAACAGAAATGTATAACCTTACTATCTTGGAGCCTGAGTCCAAAATCAAGATGTTAGAGAACCTTGCTCTTGGGGCTGAGAGGAAGGGGCTGCTCAAGGTCTTCCCTCTGACATCTGGTAGTGCTGTGGTTTGTGGTGTTCTCCCTGTGTGCATACCTCTGTGTCCTAATTTCCCCTTTTTATGAGGACACCAATCATACTGGACTAGGAGCCAACTCTATGCCAGTATGACCTCACCTAGACTAATTATATCTACCCTATTTCCAAATCAGATCACATTCTGAGGACTGGGAGTGGGATTGGAACATACTCTAGGGGAGCAAAAATCAACTCATAATAGTCACTATCACCCAGAGGTACTCCATGTAAAAGAACCCAATACACAAACATTTGTACAAGACCCATATCACGGAGGGACCCTGCTCACTGCTGAAGGAATCTTTTGTTTCTAAGAGGGTTTCCTGGTGCTAGAAGGTGCTCAGTGGATTCCTCACACATGTGTATCTGCTCGGGAGAGGCGCTGGTCGGGAGGGGAGCTGAAGCCCAAGAGTGGAGGACTTTGATGTATTTCAGACCCACCCAAAGACACAAAGCTCACTTCAAAGTTGTCATGTGAGTCTATGGAAAATAAGATGGGATTTATATAAATTCATTCAAATACATTCTTAATAAAAACACACATTTTCTAAGAAATAGCATGAAAATGGTGCTGACAGGTGAGAGGTTTGCTTGAGACCCCGGTAGAAATCTGTATTAAAGCCCAAAGTCCCAAACTCTGTGATTACAACTATTATTTTCTACTTCTCCTCCCATTTCCCTGAGCGTTCCTCATGGAGGTGGCATGAGAGTGAATTCTACTGGGTAAATGTGGAGGTGGTGAGGAACCAGAGGGCCGTTTAAGCTACTCAGGAAAAATCCTTATTTCCCCAGAAGCTGCTCCCACGGCCTATTCTAGCAGTAATAAAAGAATACTTCTCAGGCTCAAAAAGAGTGTAGGTGCCACTTGCCACACGCCAGCTCAAACTTTATTCCTGTCAACAGGGAGAAGATTAAAGAATGGGTCTCCTTCTTGTCATCGTTTTGCCGGGGTGTAATAGCAGCTCATCAGAATACTGAGGTGACTGTATATCACTAATAAAATACCGGGCACCTGAGCACAACCCTCTTTCAACAGAAACAATGGTAGCTTTTTCTTTTTCCTTAGCAACCAACATTCACACAAAGGATAAATAAGTGAGGAAATGTATGTCCTTGTTAATTTTTTATGATTAACAAAGAGGAAAAAATCTTTTGTATTTTTCAAGAGAGCTGAAATACAGACACTTCAGATTCTGATTATTGTGGTAGGGGGGAGTGAAAGTTAAGCGTAGTCTAGGACTATCATATTTTCCACCATTATTATTCAAGGTACATAATAAGTTTTCTTTCAAGTGACTAACTCTAGGCTGATATCTATAAAAATGTTTTTCATTTATCTTGAGCTTTAATATGCCTCTTTTGGGTAAAGGCTAGTAATTTTAACTTCTTAAGGGGCCTTTGTTAATTTCTTTCTTAGAGCAGACCTTTACAAAAGGGACTTGGACAACTTTGTTCTCATGTTTTCTAGGATGTTCCAGGCTTACAGCAAAAGCAAAGCCAAGGAGGAGGAGAAAAGAAGGCATGTTTATGCACAAACTGGGTGATGAAAGCAGAGGAGATGGGGTACAGGTGGAGACACAGTGAGAAGAGAGGCTGATTGAAGGAAATCAGCGTGGGCCTCAAGGCCAGGCTGAGGATCCTCAGGGACTGGGAGCGGGACAGGAACAAGCTGATAAGAGTGATCCTTGCTTAAGTGAGGTAACACTGGGCAATGTGCAGTCTAGATATTTCATGGCTGTGAAGAGACACTGGAGGCCAGGAGCAAGGTGAGAAGGCTGTTGCTTCATTCCAGACCCAAGATCAAAGGTGCCCTGCTCACACAGTTCCTTTCTCCGCCCACAGGAGAGATGCTGTTTGGCTGATAAAAGGCCCACTTCCTACCCCAGCCTTTTCTCTGGTCCTTCAAGAACATTGAACACTGTCAGCCCCACCTCATCAATGATCAGTCTTCCAGACATGGTAATCAGAGTCCCTGCGTTCTGTCTCTGAACGCTACATGTGGGAGTCTCCCAGCACTTCAAAATCTTACTCATTAGCAGCTGAATTTGACTTTCCCCTCCTTCCTAAAGCTTAGTACATTCTAAGAATGATTCCTAGCCCTAATCATCATGATCTATTCAATTTTCTACTTGCGCTGTTACCTCTTCGTGCCTTTTTTCCATTTATTTTTTTTTTTCTTTATTCCATTTAGATGTTCTCAGCACTCATCTGGTATGCTAGGCTGAGGTCCCTTTCTTTCCTTTCTCACACCAGTGACAAATCCCACTGTAAAAAGATTTCTGAAACACCACTTGATTTCCTGCTGTACTTTCTATACTTCTTAGGCATTGGCAGAGTTTGGTAATTTTATTCATTCATCCTGATCAATCTTCTCATTATAGCTATATGCATTTCATCTTCATTTCTAACAAAATCTACTCAAGGAAGTAAAATATAATACACCGATGACTTCTAATTTTAGCCTCGGCTTTCTTGGACTTGTAAGATTTCCAGCTTTGTATATTAGTAATGAACAGACTCAGTGGTTTTGTTTTCCTGCATAGATCCTATTTCACTGCTTAGAGACATTGCCATTGACGGTTTCCTCTCTGTGGGCACCAAGCACGTCTAAGGAGGCATAGCCTCCTATTTTATCTAGTTGGTAGCTCTCTGTCTATTTTAAAAGCTTTCTGTAACATAACACTCACCAGATCAAACACCTCATCTCAGTTATCCATTTGGAAGTAGAAATGATGGTAGTAAAGCGGGTTAGGAAAGTGAACCCTTTTCAACAAATGTCTCTTATATTTCACTCATGAGGTCCTTTATCCCCCTAGAGATAATATTATTGGTCCTATTTCCTTTTTACACTGAATATTCAGAGTCAGTGATCTTTCAACCAGTTGGAGTCAAGGATACCATTGGCCTTGTTGAATTTTGTCTCTGTGGTTGTTCAAGTTGGAAGCTTTCTTCACCCTGACTCAGCACTTTCTGGTTCCATGAGTGTCTCAGTCCATTTGTAACTGCTGTAAGGAACTACCACAGACTGGGTCATTTCAAAAGAAAAAAAAAAAAATTGTCACATTTCTGGAAGCGAAGTTCAAAATCGAGGGGTCCCACCTGGTGAGGGCCATCTTGTTGTATGTAACCTTGCAGAAGGGCAAGCAGGCAGGCCCAACACAGAAGTCAGGCTAAATTCATCCTTTTTATCAGAAAACCATTCCCTTAATAACAGTGTTAATACATTCAGGAGAGCAGAGTTCTGGTGACCTAATCACCTCTTAAAGACCCTACCTGTTAAGACTGTTACATGATAATTAAATTTCAACCTGAGTTTTGGAGGGGACATTCAAACCATAACAACGAGTTTGGAGCTAGGAAAATGGACACAACTTAAATACAGATGCTCAGGGACTGACGGTGGAGTTACAAGCTGCCTTAGTCCGTCATAAATTGAAAATATCCTAAGTTGAAGATGCATTTAAAACACCGCAGCTACACACACCACAGCCTGACAGCACAGCACAGTACACAGCTTACAGCACAGAACTGACTGTTTCCCCCCGGAGCTGCAGGGCTGCCTGAGAGCTCAACATCAGGAGAGACTGTCACCCCACACATCACCGCCCCAGGAAAAGATCAAAATTCAAAATTTGAAGCATGACTTCTATTAAGTGTGCACTGCTTTTTCACCATCATGCAGTAAAAAGAAATCACAAGTCGAGCCACCTTAAGTCAAGTATAATCTGTATACCTACTTTTTAAAAATTACCTCTCTCAGAGAACATTGATAGTGTTTTGAAAACACCCTGCCATCAGGCATTGTTCTTGGAGGGATTACATTGTACTTGTAACAATTCCCTTACCACACAAAGGAACTTCTTTGGTAGAGTATCCTGTATCTCTTGGGGGAGGGAAGGCAATAATTAATTGGTTAAACCTACATCACCTTGAAGCCTATAATTTGTACTGTCACATGATCAATACTACCTAATTGCACTGCTATGCAAACAGTAGATGCATGTGAGCAAAGCACAAAAGATAAATAGCAAGCAGGAAAAGGAGAGGTGCAGGGCTTGGCTCTGGGCTAATTACCTTCTCAGATGGGAGGAGCTGATAAATGGAAAAAGTTGGGAGTGGGCATGCCATGGCAGAGCTTAGTAACTTAGAGTGCCACCCACAGGACAAAATCACTTGCTCTGAGCCATAGCACCACATAGCTGAGAAACATCTAAATGACATGATCATGTATTTATATTAGAGGTGACCCAGATTCAAGAAGCAAGTTCAAGGTGTGTGGCTTGTGAATACAACCTTGGAAGATCCTCTGATCTTGTCAACTCATCTATTATGGCTTTTCCAGAAAGCATGTGGTTTAATTCTGTCTCTTGGGGGGAATTTCATTTTGGGAAAGGAGAGGAAAACCCTTAATTCCTTCTGTATCTGTTTTATTCAGCATTTAATGGAAAAAAGTCTTCCAGGATTCGGGCAAGCTCATCTTCCACATGTTTTCTTATCAGAGGTCACTGAAGATACTGAAGAAGAGGTCCATTACCTTACTCCTCGAAGTGTTCTTTCAGAGGTAACCCCTCCCACCCATCAGTCATTCATTCCATCAACAAATGTTCTCTGAGCTTATGCCATTTACTATTTGTGAGAACAGTTGACTTAGGGAGTCCTTTTGTATTCTGGACTGAAAGAAAGAGCAAATGTCCTCTAGTTATGATTTTTATGGGGTGTATTAATCTGTCTATTAGTTGGAAGCCTTTCTGAGTGCAAGACACTGTACTGTCCTAGGCATGGTGGCTACAGCAATGAATCTGACACTTTTCATGCCTAAGAGCTCACAGTATTTTTTTTTTTTTTTTTTTTTGGTTTTTCTCCGGTACCGGGGACCGAACTCACGACCTTGCGCTTGCCAGGCAGGTGCTTTGTCGCTGAGCTAAATCCCCAGCCCCTAGCTCACAGTATTACCAGCTGCCATATGATAGTGCTACACAGAGAGGAACAAAATACTCCGGAAGCATTAGAAACAGGAGAGCATTTCTCTCTCCGTTGGAGTCAGGAAAGACATTGGAGATTTAACAGCATTTATTGAATAGCTCAGGCAGGCTGAAATTCAGAGTATGTGAATGGCAAAGCAACAGCAACAAAAGAGCCTGGCTGTGATTGGTCTTGATTTCAGCACAGGTGCAGAGGTGGCTTCTAGTCTGGGAAGTGGGAAAACCTGAATCGTCTTTCTGTTATACCATCCCAGCAGATATATATCTTTGGTGGACTAAGAAAAAGGAAATAGAGACAAAAAGACAAACCAAGTGGGGAGGTGCATCATTTTTTAAACTGGGGGTTTTCTAGTAGATGAGGACATGTTTATTTAAAGAAACATTCTGGGATCAAATATGTTATGGAAGTGCCAGTTTAAATTTAACCAAGCTTTGTATCAGCAGAATTCTCAGAGCCTTTGGTACAAGATGCATTATTAAGAGCCAAGAGGCATACAACACACAATATTTCGAAGCTCATTTGATCACAGAAAATTCTTTCCTGCCCCAAATATTTTCATACTAGTGTTCCCTGGGGCAGAATCTCTTAGGATAGTCCATCCAGCCAATTGGGTGTTACCGAGTATCAGTGATAAGCCAACATTTGCTAGATAGTCTATGTGATGCAGAGTCTAGGAAGGCAGATAAAACTGTGCAGTAGAAATTAGGAGAGTTGTCAGTAGTGGCTGAGGTGATGGTGTAGGTGTGGGACTTCAGCTAGGCCTGACTATGATTTCAAAGGGCAGAAGAGAAAAGGGGTGTCCCAGATGAAGGAAGCAGCATGAATATGAACACTAGAAAAGCACTATTAGTGAAGGGCAGCAGTGGGAAGACTGGCTTGATTGGAAGGTAGCATTAGAATTATGGTTTAGTGATGGACTAGGTACAATTGTCTTAAGGGTTTTGGACAAACATTGCTATCAACATCTCTTAGTTCTAAGGGGCTGGTTGAGTACCTCCCAAGGGCAGCATTTTCTAGGACCCTCACAATTCCTGAAAGTACCTCGGGCTACCTGCTAGCATAGTAGCCTGAGACAAGCTCCACATTGAGTCTGGTCTTTGAAGCCACAGGTTCCATGATTCTGTACTAAAACTGACCCAGGAAGAGGGCTATATTATTAAAGTGCCTAGTGATGAAACAAAAAGATAAAAAGCAACTTAGTCCAATAGGAAACTTGTGTTAAGAGCGGGGGGACCTGAAAGAAAAGAGGTTGTTGAGTCTATCAGAAGTCTTGCTGGTTCAGTCTCATGTAGGTAAGGGTGGCTGATACTCCCTGAATGAGAACAACCGTTCATCCAACAGTAGGTGTACTTACCGTTTCAGGGCCCTGAGCAATAACATAAGACGACATCTGACTGATTGGTAGATTTGCATCCTTCTGACCCTTCCTCTTGTCCTTAGTTGGATAATGTTATTGATGCCAGTGACCCTGGGGAATCCACTGAAGCTGCTTGTCCGGATGGGGTCTCCAAGGAAACTGAACATGTTTATATGTCAATGAAATCCTTGTAAGTCAAACTGGCATTTGAAAATTTGATCTTAACTAATGTAGTCTTACAATTACTACCAATTCATTTTTAATAGTTGAGAAATTGATATGCAATACTCCCACAGACATTATTCAGCACGGGTTGAATATCCCTTCTCCAAAATGCTTAAGACCAGAAGTGTTTAACATTTTGGAGTGTTTGTATACACATAATAATATACTGTAGAGATGGAATGTGACTCAGTGAGCACAAAATTCGTTTTATGTTTCAAATATACCTCATGCACATAGCCTGAAGATGATTTTATATAATATTTTGGTAATTTTGTGCACAAAACAAAGATTCATGGTGTGGAATTTTCCATGTGTAGTGCCATATCGGAACTTATTTCATCTTTTGAACCATTTCAGCTTTCAAATTCTTGAGTAAGGAATGTTCAGCTCATTTTGGGATCTCAAAATAAGAAAAAGTGGCAATGGTTTCTCCATCCACAGAAAACCATTTGTGACATCCTCAGGACATTTTGTGTCTGGGGAAGTTGTTTCCTATTTTACATTTATGTCTCTCACACTCACACTCTGTCTTCCAAATCCTGTAAGGGGCTATTTTGGTTCTGTATCCATTTTTAGAAGGAAAGCTTATTGGATTTAATTCTAATTGTGGCTGTGACCCTGATGGTTGGACATTCTTCAAGCCCTTGTTAGTTTTTACCCGGCTGTTAGCCGCTTACATCTGATACGCACTGTGGAAAGTTGTAAATAGACATGCTAAAAAAAGGGTTTGCTTTAACTTTGTATACTCTAGTTTTTTCAACGAGACACCCCATGTATCTGCTGATTGCCAAGAGGAATCCCAGCCTCTTCCAGAGATCCGGAATGAAGGGCCTCACCTGCAAGATCAAAACTCAGGAAGCGATTCATGCCTTTCACCTGCCAATACAGAAGCACAGACTACAAATGATGAAACGGGGTCGGCCTCACTAACTGTTGTGAAATTGTCTATTTTACTCAAGTAAAGCTCTAATTTCAACTTTATGGGTCCTAAGAGCAAAGCAGCCTTCCTATTTTTACTTTGAATTCAAATTTTGAACCCGTTCCTAAAAATCTCCAAGTCAGCCAAGGATCTGACCAGTTTCTCCCTGTCACTGATGTTTTGGCTAAAGCCAGTAAATAACTGAGCTGGAGCAAAGATTGAGCCCCTCGGCTAAAGGTGGCAGTTTTTACTATTTTTATAAGTTCTCCCTTGGCTGGTCTTTCAGGTGTTGGAACTTTGAAACCACAATGATCTGAGTAATGCATCACCTGAGTTTTACCATTAGCGTAACTGTGGACACGCAAGCCTCATGATGCTTGGTTATAGGGATGTTTAAGTTTTAAGCGATGCCAAGACCATTTGATAAGATTATGGTAATTTTAACTCTTTTCCATGTCCTCTTCTACAGAATCATTTCAAGCAGAGAAATATACAAACTGGCATGATGTAGATGGTTGTATAACCAATCTAATCCACTTCTGCCTCCTTTTCCACCCATGCACTTCCACATCCCAAGAGGGACAGGGAAGGACATTAATGAGTAATTTGTAGGAATTTAAATTCATATTTCTCTCTGAATGTTTTAAACAATCTTTAACTGGAAAATATCATCTCAGAAATAGAAGGCCAAAATCTCCTCAGAGAGGGCAGTTCAGAGACAGGGACAGTTGCCTGATGTGACTTTTACAAATGTTTTCTCCCTCAGTAACATCCCTGATGAAAGCCATGTGGAGACTCTGAACGTGTTCCTTTCTCCTCCTGATGTCATAAACTATCTTGCTCTCACAGAAGCCGCAGGGCGGATATGGTAGGTGGGAAATTTGACTGCTCGGGACCATAAACGAGATTAAAAGATAAGAAGACCGTTCTATTTCGAAACACTGTATTTGACAAAACTGACTGTGGACTTGTACTGTTGGCTCTGAGGCAAAAGAAAAGTACTGCTGTGTAGAGAGTCAACTGGGAGGTGGGTCTGAGAGGACTCCAAGGTTCTGTGAGTAGCACATTTCTAATTTCTCAAAAGTGAGAGAGACTGGGTAGGAGCACATATATCGAAGGGCGTCATGCACTTCCCAGTGAATATTTCATGAGTGAAAGAAGTGAGTGAGGTTAACAAGAGCCAATGATCTAAAAGAAAAAGCCTGATCAGGACACAAGACTTCTAGACACCAGCTAAAAGAACTTCTGGTCAAGGACTCAGACATAAAACACATCAGATCATCACTATTTATTTGATTCTAAATAGTCTTCTTTTTTTATCTAACACTAGGAATTGAATCCAAGGGTGCTCTACCGCTGAGCTACATCTTCAGCCCTTTTTGTTATTTTGAGACAAAGACTTGCTAAATTGTGCAGTCCAGCTTTGAACTTGCAATCCTCCTGCCCCTGTTTCATGCTGGCTTCAGTCTATATTCTCTCAAAGACTGTAATTTATTTTGATGGAAGACTGCATGTTTAGAAGAAAACACCTTTTAATGTAAAATAAATGCTATACATTCATTACCTTCTAAATTCTAAGTGGGCAGGAGTCATAACCTTTCATTTTTCCAAATTTTCCGCAACTACAGCCTCCATAAATACTTGACCAGATTGTAGACTTCTGTGTGACTAAGATGTTTCATTCATTCATTCATTTACTCATGGTTTAATTTTATGAGCTTATTTCCAGTAAACACATTTTGAGCATCTTCTATTTACTTGTAGTTATAAAAATATAAAAAGGAAAAAATCAAAACCCACACTTCCAGGTAAACATACAATCTGTTGAAAAGATGGCCCCATAAATAAGTAAACATGATATGCATTTTATTTTAAAATATGAGAAGTAGCCAGGCATGGTGGCACACACCCTGTAATCCCTGCACTCGGGAGGCTGAAGCAGGAGGATCATTGTGAGTTCGAGGTCAGCCTTGGCTACAAAGTAAGCTCAAGGCCAGCCTGAACTGCATAGTGAATCCCTGTCTCAAAAAAGACAAAAAAATTAAAAAATTTTAAAAAGTAAATATATGATAAGTAAGTTACCTAGAAGCAGACACATAGTAGAAGTCCATAGGCAGAAGAGAGTCTAATTTATAGCAAAGGAAGTGGAATGTGGGGGTTTTCAGGGAGCAGAGTTTTAAAGGAAAAGTTAGGCTCTAACTTCACTGTCACTTCAGTAGTGACAGAAAAAAATGTTACTCCAAATGGAAAGGAAAAATGAGTCTGCCTTAGATGTGGTGCAACCCTGCTCAGAGCAGAGTCCCTGTGGGCCCCAGAGCTGTCCTGTTCTCCCTATGAATTCTCTCTTTCACTCGGGTATTGAGTGTTGTGTTTCTACTGCAGTGTGTCTCAGTGGGGAGGACCTCCACATCTGGGGTGCTTATTTTCCCACGGAGATCATGTTTTGGCCGTGAATGGGATGAAGCCCCAGAACCTGGAAGAGATGTCTCTGTTTCTCACCCGGTCTATACAGAAGGAGGTGAGTCTTACTTACCAGCCCGAACCAGGGCAAATCAGCGCCAAGAGAAACAAGATCAAAGTCTTCTGAAAAGTGCTCAGAATACAAATGAAATTCTTCCCTTTCACATAAAGTAGTACTTGGCAACAGCTTTGGTCTGAAGATAAGGTACTGGGTTCAGGACCTCAAGAGCAGCTCACTGTGGCAAAAGAACTTGTGTGGAATCAGTTTGGCTCATGGATTGCAAAAACAATGTCTTTAACCAGGTTTTGTCTGCTTCCTCTAATTCTATAAGATTAGGGTAATGATAACGCCAGAGGTTGGAGAATTAAATAATATGTTCTAATGTGCTTACAACGGTGACTGGCATGTATAAGGAGTACAATCTAGTCACAATTATTTCTACCTCTACTTCAGTTGGCCATGGAATGCTGGACAAACTCACTCTTTTAAACCTTAGTTTCTTCATCTCAAAAATCAACATCCCCTTATGTTCCTCATGAGCTTATTCTAAGAATTAAACCTAACATGGGTATTAGCCATATGTATATTTTCAAAGGATTGACCTACTTTTTTTAATCTTAATTTTTATTAGTACATGTTTGGGCTATGTAATGATTACATTCATAATGGGAAGTTCACACATGTGCATAACACATCTTAATTTTTTTTACATCCTCTTTTCTGGGCTGGCTTATTTTTAAATGGTTTCATCTAGTAATACATTCTTCATATAACTCCTCTGAACCTGTCCAAAGGTTGCTAAACCACACAGTCAGATAGTCACAGCAATGACCCCACTTCTGGTACCAGAATCTTAGTTACTTTCTTCATCACTGGGACATAATACCTAACACCCACAATGTAAAGGAGGAGAGGTTTATTTTAGCTCATGTTTTCAGCCTCTGGTCAGCTGGCACCAAGGCAGAAACAGCATGGCAGATGGGCACACCAGAAACAATGGTGCTTGTGTCATGACAAACAAGAAGCAAAAATAAAGAAAAGCACCTACAAGTGACCCACCTCTTTTAACTGACTCCACCTCCTAACAGCATACTCAGTCACTGAACCCACCAGTGGATGGAATCCACCAGTGAATACAGTGCTCCGTGATCCAACCATTCTCCACCTCTAAGTGCAAGACGGTTTTAAGGGAGAGGGACATTCCAGTTCCAAACCGCAACAGGGGCTAAGTGGTCAAGAGAATCTCTGTACCCTTCGGAAAGTAACCAAACAATATTCTGACCTGAAAACCCAGGCACTGGTTAAAAGACCAAGAAAAGAGTTTTGGGCTGAGAACAGATCCAACAATTCTTCCAGGTATCACAGCCTCCCCCTTGTCATATTTGCCTTTCCATACAGGAAAGTCTCTTGCATAAGCAGAGGACACCAGAATTTCTCTTGTACTCATTCTGTCTTCTTCCTTCTGTTTGATAACGGCTCCTAGATGCTATTGAGAACTATAAAGCATCCACCAACATGATTATATGGAAGATCAGAAGATTCTCCTTCTTTCTCTCCATTCCTGACTTTCTTTTAAGTGAATATCTCCTTTTTAAATCTTTTAAGTGAATATCTCCTTTTTAAATCCAAATACCTGGACCTTGGAAGGAAAAAGATTGTTGAAAAGGGGAGATATGGACCCAAAGGAAGAAGAATAATGGCCCCTAATGTTTTAAAGCACATGAGCCAATCACGTCTATTTTTCTTCCTGTTAGGATATAGTTCAGAGAGATGGGAGGTTGGGGTAGGGATTGGATAAGGACAGCAAGGGACAGAATGTAAGATTTTTTTAAGGCAGTGTTGGCAGTGTGTGTGGGGGTAGTGGAAGGATATACTAGGTTGTGGGAAAACTCACTGAACTTTGATTTCTTCCCAGTTTTGTCTGGGTCTGGTCCTTTCTAATGGTCTTATTTTGATTCACTCATCTCAAGAGACCTTTTACATTCTTGGTGCTACTGGGCCCCTCTGGGTACTATTGATGCTCTCTGCAATCTACCCGAGAGGCTCAGGCCATTAAGTGGATTCCAGAAAATAATAATCCATCTTCGACCAGAATATATGAGTCATTAAGTCACTTCCAGTTTCCTCTGGCCCACTGTAGTTCATTTCAGGATTTTCTTCAGAAGCAACATCAGTGTGTGAAGGAGGACAGATTGAGAACCGAGAATCCTAAAAATAATCTTCGCTCATTTTATTTTTTCTTTCTTGCATTTTAGAAAATAAAACTCACCATAGGCCGGATCCAAAATTCAGAGAAATTCCATGCTATGTCCTGTACATGCTCCTTAAAAAATCAAGGAAATGCGCCTGTTCAAGAGGACAAATCTGAACTGAAGAAGATACTAAAGAGGAGTCCAGCAATTAAGAAGGGCCAGAAGGGAGATGGAGAGTAGCCTGCTGTGGGCCTATTGCAGCAGAAGGGGGATGGAGCCTCGTGTGCCCTGGGCTCTGCTATTCACAGACTTGTGATATAAAATAAGCTCACACACCTCTCTAAACCAGTGTATCTGCATCTTAACAATGGGGCTAACTATCCCCTCCCTGGCTAATGCACCAGGGATGCTGAGAAGGTCAAGTGGGATAATGACAGGGGTCACAGTGAAGATGGAAGGCCTTATTATCTGAGACTTTGTCCTAAACAGCACAGACACAGATTGGGTAAGTCCTTCATCTAATTAATACAGACTGTGTATTCTGTGAGGTCATGGTGCACATAATCATTTCTTTGTTAAGAAACAAACAGTTGGAAACCCTCATCCCAGGAAGGCAAGATTCCCCAGAGAGATGTGAGACCTCTAGGCCTGCTCAAACACCTCCCATGACTATTTGTAGTGGATTGATAACTGGTGGTCAACTTATAACCCCCAGCTGAACTGAGTAAGGGTGGTGCTGGGTGTGGGAGGCCCACTTGACTGTTGCCAGCAGCATAAGAGGCAGACCTGGAGAATAAGAAGGAGGCTGTTGGGAGCTAAAAGGCTGTTAGAGTGGAGAAAGACGGTTGTGAGCTGGTGGAAGCTGTAAGGAGCTGTTGGTTGTTTTGGAGGATCTCATCATGCTGGCTTTCCTGATGAACTTGCCTGTTTTCATCCTCAAAGGAGCTTGGGACCTCGTGGGCACTGAGAATAGCTTTGGTTCACTTTGGGGGAGCTCTGGTCCTCACTTTGAGCATCGCTTCCCAGCTCCGGAGGGGAAGATGGTGCACTGCTCATTTTCCTGGACAAGCTTGTCACGTTGGCTTTCCTGATGGGAACTCAGTTGTCCTGATCATCAGAGGAGCTCAGGACCTCACTATTGCTGAGGATGGCTGTGGTACCTTTCGGGGGAGTTCTGGTTCTTCTGAACATCGCTTCCTGGCTCCAGTGCAGATCCCTCAGCCTGTTAGCACAGATCCTTCATTCTGCTGACACAGACTTTCTAGATTCCACCACTGACCTTTGGGCCTTCACAGCAGATCCGTGTAACAAGTCTGCATGAGACACTGTTACAGGCTCTAGGCCATCAGGTGGACTCATGGGAAGCATTGTTATGAGCTCTAGGTCTTCAGCTGGACTCATGCAGGATATTGTCATGGGATCCAGGCCCTTGGCAAGATTCCTTGGTCTATAGTTTGTGGACTATATTTCCTGCACTCTTTTGTATACCATTCTTTAGGTGACTATTATAAATATTCTTATAAAATATGTGTCCTGTATTATATTGTTTCACCTTGCACAATAACCCCCAAACCAACACACTATTCAACCCCCAGAATCTAGAATGCAAGGGCAGGATGGCCGCTTGTATTTAATACATCTCTTTTCTTAAAGACCTAATATCTCTTTGAGAAGTTGAAGCAGTTGTAGGATTTAAATCCAGGGCTGATTTCCTTGTTTCACAAAGTTTGAATATTCTTAGTTTATTGATGCATGAATAAACTGACCCTGGAAGGCCCAAGGAGTCAAATGGTTTTTCATAAGTAGGAAACCAAAGGCAGAGCACTAAAGCACTAATCAAATCGGGGAAAGCTGGAGCAAAAGGGGTCTTGGAAAGTATATGTTACTCAGTTGTTATTTCACATGGAAGAAATCAAGGCCTACAATGGTGAATGATGTGCCCTCTTCTTGGTTCCAAGTTCTGTAGCTGTTTAGGAGCAGAGCCAAGAATCAGAAGCCAGCCAAGGAGAGCAACTAACCTTCAACTTAGATTCAAAAATATCTTCAGCACTCACAAGAGACATTCAAACACATTTCTTCAATTGTCCGGAAAGGATAAAATATTCTCACTTATATGCCGCGTTTGACCTACTATTTCTACTCCTAGAATTGTACCCTAGAGAAGTATGCAAACACACAGTGATATCTGTGAAAACCAAAATGTTTCCCGGCACTCTTTAGCATTGTTTGTGATAAGGAAAATGTCATTTGGGGATTAATTATTATTTCATAGAATTGAATAGGGTAGATGCTAAAAAGGTTGGTGCATATAATTATGGGTAATATGCATAATATATTAAAAAAGAAAGAAGCAAACTGCAATATAGGAGGTATAATATTGATCCATCCTTGCAAAAAATAAATTTTGGAGGTTTGTGTAGATATGCATATAAAATCTCTCCACCCCTGGTTAAGAGTGAGCCACCTACCTCCTGGGGAGGTCGTAAGATTGCAATTTTGTGCATTTCCCTCCTCCTAAACACTCCACCAAGTGTTATGCTGCTGCTTCACTGCCATGCCTTTTTGTCTTTTTAAAAAAAGTTAAGAATAACCCACATTCGACTGTCAATAAGAATTCAGAGAGTATGATCAGGATTGGTCCAGGGGGAGGAGCATTTCTGTAATGTTTGAATTTGTTTTTCTTTTTATCATGAGCATATGTTGCTTTTGAAGTGAAAAAATATATACAAGTACGGAAAAGAAATAAATACACATATGTGTATTTATGAAACCCTCATCAGTGAGAAACCAAACCACCTCAGTAAAGGAAATAAAAAACCATGAAGGTAAAACCACCTGGCAACCAACAATGTGGATAAACACAGGGCTCTAGAGCCCAAAGATCTTCTTTTTGGTTTACTCAGAAAGCTTTCCTGCAATGCCAACAAAAGCTAAAATGAGATAAAGAAACAAACTACAGCTGCCAGGCCCCTCCAGTCCCACTACAGCAAAGAGAAGTCCGAGGACTAAAGGCTTCATCCACTGGGCTCACAGAAGAGGCGGGACAAGAACACAGAACTCCTGGCCCTTCCCAGCACAACCTGCGGAGAGCAGCCAGCCTGCTCCTCACTCTCTCCAATCCCAGAAAAATCAGCCAGGGTGCTTTTATGAGAACCCTGCTCTAAGGGCTTCTCCCACATGAGAGGGTTATTCTCAAAAGGGTATCTCAGGGCAGATTCTAAGATTCTGATATGGTGGGGCCCAGGGTCTGAATTCTCATAACAATCCCAGGGGATCTGAATGCTGCTTGACCAAGGAACACAGATTTTGGTGAAGCATCATGATGGGACAGGGGCTAGGGATTTAGCTCAGCAGCACAGCGCCTGCCTGGCAAGCATGAGGTGGTGAGTTCAATTCCCGGTACTGGAAAACAAACAAACAAAAAAAAAAAACATCATGGTGGGACAGCATGGAGGGTTAGTTCCCTGGGAGGGTACAAAGCATGAAGTGCACACATGGGCATTCCTGAGTGTAGCTGGCCTAGTTTTCAACAGTTCCGAAAGAAGCTAATGACCACCACTCCCTACCCAGACCCCTAATCCTGAAGGAAGCAGTCTGGTGTTCATTGTTGCTGTCTGCTGTCCGGGGAGTGGCAGGACTGGTACCTGGAGAAAGGTAGCCGTCTGAGTGGGTATGGTCATGTGCTGCCGGACAACTGAAGTGGAGAAAGCAACCTGTGTTTGTCACTTCTGCTGTTGTCTCTCAGGGCCCAGTTCCTCATTGCTTCCCCCTCCCAGAGCTGGGGACTTATCACTGGGACTGGATCTAGATTCTTTCTCCCTCCCAACAGTGGTAGTGCCTCAAAGAGAGCTCTTGGCCAAGCTAGTCCAAAACATTGAACCCAAAGCAGTTGTCCCAAAGCCCAACTTTTAGGGCCCTCTTCAGTGGCACAGCTAAGAGTACTGAAAGATGTCCTGCTCAGACACAAGAGTTCCCCAGCCCAGGGCTGAAAAAAGGCCTTGTAGCATACAATTTCCAGAGAGTTAAGAGGGTGAGATAAACCCTTACTCCGCCCTGTTACCCACAACCCCATGCATAGCCAGCCTCAGTGAAAACACCGTTTGTGACCCTTCCCTTCCAGAGCTGCCGCTGATGTTCATCCTAACCCCATTCCAAGGAGATGTACTTGGGCTGGATACTGCAGAAAGATCGGCCCAGATGCCCCAGGAGGGATGGCCCTCTTCTGGGCCTGTTTCTGGAAGGAAGAAGGGAATGAGAATTGACTGTGGTCATTCCTGACCATCACATTCTTGGCCTGAATATGATGTCCTCTTCAGTCTTGCTGGAGGAGGTGCCAGAGCTCAGGAATGTGCAGAGATGCCTGGGCTTCCCTAGCTCCATGCCAGCCTGTGGCTTCCAGGCCAGCACTCTTTTCTGTATTTGCAAGACTTTTCAGCGGGGTGTTTGGAGGTGCCACTTGTCTGGTCTGTTCCTGCTTCCTTCGCAGGTTCCCGTGTCTCCAGGACGGGCCTCAGAGGGAGTGTGTAGGCACTGGCTGTGTTCTCTGCTGAGGATGCAGACTATGCAGCGTGCAGCCTGAAAAGCAGCGGGTAAGAGGTAAGACAGGGAACGAATGCGCAGGGAGGGCCAAGTACACCCATCCTGATCTGACACTGTCAGCATGCCAGCATGCACTCCAGGGAGGCATTCTAGAGGAGACAGTGAACCGCCACATGTTTACATGTCCATATGTAGGTGCATATGCATACGTATCAGAGGCCAGTAAAAAGACGACAGGGAGACACAGTTATTCTTTAATAAATTGAGAAGCTGGCGAACCGCTATGAGCGGCCCCACCTCTTTCTCTTTAGACCATGTGCCAAGTGACTTTCCCTTGGGACGATAAGAATGTAAAGTATCATAAACAGGCTCACAGGGAGAAGGATTTCAGGTTCAGCTGTATTAGATCAGGGGTCTGTGTCAAGTTGGACTTGAGGATATGCAAGAAATGTGTTTTATTGAGAAAGCTCTTTAAAATGTCTGAATTAATAATCAGCTCTGATAGGATCTTAGGGCCTTTCTCCAAGTCATCTCTGGCCAGATGGTTTGGGAAGCCAGGTTTTTAAGCAAATTTCACACAGCGCTGGGCTCAGGAGCTGAACTGCCTGACAGGGTGGTTTTCATTGCCTTGTCATGGCTGCCTTGAAGTCTTGAACTGATTCAAAATGTTTACCTTTGAAGGTTATTTTGACTTTTGGGAAGAGCCAGAGCGGAACAGTGCCAGACCTGGTAAACAAGATAGATGAGGACACACCGTAACGTTTTTATGAGTCTGCCTTTCTCTTGGACAGCATCTGGCAGTACCAGCCACTATATTTTTGATCATAACTCATAACGACACTCATGAAAGAGGACTTCCAGACCTACTTCAGAAAGCAGCAAGAACAATAGGATAAGTGTGTTTGAAGAGAGGGGAAATATTTTGAGGAGTGTTCATGGCAATGTGTCTTTTACAGTAATAATTTCTTAAATTAAGCATTCACTGTAGTTCTTGATCACTCCTTGAAGTATTTACCACACACACCACACACACTGCACTCACTAATGTAGGTTGAATATTGCTTATCGGAAATACATGAAGCCAGAAAGGTTTTGGATCTCAGATGGGGGGAGTACATTTTGGAGTATTTGCACATGCAGAATGAGATCTCAGGGGATGGGACACAATTTCTAAACATGAAATTCCATCGTGTTGCCTATATATCTTATAAACATAGCCTCAAGTTAATTTTCCATTTTTAATAATTGCATGCATGAAACAGTTTCATGGTATAGAATGTCCAATTTGTGGCTTCATTTCAGCACTTGAAAATTTTCATATTAGGGAGAATTTAAGATTTTGTATTTTCAAATTAGGGATTCACAACCTCTACTTCCTAAGGAGTACCCAGCTGTGGAGAACTATTTCCCTCAAAGCCAGAGAATTCTGGACTGCCTTTGTTTTTGCTGTGGGCTGGGGAGGCAAACACTGTAGCTTGTCATATGCACGTGAGAATCAATGGGCCGTGAGTGTGAGTGTAAAAGCTTTCACCAGCAAACGACACTCAGAGTGTCACCCTGCGACACTCATTTGGGGCTCAGTTGCTTTAGTGTATGGTGTGGTGGTGGTGAAGGTGTTGACACTAGCTTGTATCTTGGTCCTCAAGTGTCTTCTAAACAGATAAGACCACTAGAGACATAACTCTAAGTTGAGTAAAATTACTGCTTACTAAAAATTAGAGAAAGGAGGCAACAAAGGAGTTCAGAAAAGAAAAAACCTGATGGAACAAAATGCTACTCATGACTCACATTTGGTAGATGACCTCTGTGTCATACACACTACCCAGCGCTCCACTGAATCCTATACCCTGCGAGACTGTTATTGGAATCTCCTGGCTATGCCAAATGTTCTCGGGTAGCTCCTCCTACGTGTGGCTCGCCAATTAAGTGTGACCGGGTTCTGGGTTGCTCGCCTTTCCTTCTGGAGTTGGATTCCAGACTCTTCACATCTTGAGCAAAGAATCAAATGAAGTAGGCAAAAAGCAGTGGCCAAGTTTATTTGAGAAAGCAAAAGCAAAGAGTGAAGGAGAGCTCTGCAGAGCAAGCTTAGACCACATTAAAGGAAAAAAGCAATAAAGGAGCACCCTGGAAACAGCAGGGCAGACTACTAGGAGGAAAGTCACAATAGGGCACTCCTCATGGTGTCTGTGTTCTTACGTGTTGTCCCAGTCTCCAGGATATCCATGACAGCTTCTACCTATGGGTTCTAAGATGTGGTTCTGGGATCCCAGGCCTCGGACTGACATCACGTCCAAGCCACCCTATTGAAAACTTGCCCAAGTTCATGAGAAAAGTCCAGACACAGGGCTTTGGGAACTGTTCTGTGCATGTGTTCTGGGATCTTGTGACTAACAGGTCATGTCTACTCCCAGCCAGCTTTGCCACACCCTAATCTCCTATCTCAAGACCAAGACTATTACTGTACCCCACTTTTAGATAGGACACCAAAGGACAGAAAAGTTAAATAAAGTGCAGCAGCCATGACAAGCTAGTACAAGACAGAGTTGGAATTCAAACCAAACAAACCTGTTTTGGAGAACACAAGGCTATGCCTACACATTGGAAAACAACCTTAAAAAGGAAGTAAAACTCAGCTGCAGAAGAGGATACTCCAATAAAGGACAGTGATATAGACAGAAGCAAGCATGGAGTGTATTTCCTATATGAAAACATGGCATGTGTGGAATGATAGTTTTTTCGTACATTTCTGATTTCAGTAACATACATCATCTTCAAGCCTCTTGCCCAGTAGAACCACAGAAACCCACACTAATATCCCAGGAACTGAGGAAATTCTACTGAGGCTATTACAATAAGTCAGTGTATCTTCCAGCGTTCCTTTTAGATGGTTGCTTGACTTTATTGACAAGCAAATTAACAGAAAATTGATGCATTTCTCCACTGACCAAAGCACCAGGCTGTTCCTTCTGGATTGGAGATAAGGAATAAGGAATCCTAAACTTTGCAAACCTTTTCATCAAGCAAGGGTCATACAAACATATACACAGAAAACCACAAGGTAAGTCTGATTGTCCCAAATTCTTTAAGGTACAAATTAAGTGTTACAACCATGAAAGACTTAGAGACTAATCCTATCAAGTTGCTTTGGAAAAAGCTTACTGGGGGTGGGGGTGGCGGATATATTGGTGGGAGTATTTCATATTTCCAAGAATGAATAGAATTTGCTGATATCTCAGAATAGGCCAGCTGTCCAGTGCACAGCGACTCCAGTATAAGCAGAGCACCAAGAACTTCTCGAGAGTCTAGAGAACACCTTAATCATTTGTCACTCTTGATGCATTTGAGCACTTTGTGGATTCAGGGCACTGAGCCATGTACTGGTGATATTATCAGGGCATAAAACATATTCTCTCTGGGAGCTGATAACCTAATTAAGGACAGAGGTATAGAAATTATTTAGGGTTAATCATTTTCCATATAGAATGGAAATATATGTCCATACATAAACTTGTTTTTTGTTTTTTGTTTTGTATTTTTAAGACAGGGTCTCACTATGCATTTCAAGCTGGCCTTGAGCTCACTTTGTAGCCCAGGCTGGTCTTGAACTTGCAATGATCCTCCTGCCTCAGCCTCTTGAGTGCTGGGGTTACAGGCGTGCACCAGCAGAGCCAGCTTTAAATTTGTAAAGGAATATGTAGCACAGCTTTGTTTCATAATAGCTAAAAAGTAGAAATGTCCATCAACTGGTGAATGGATAAAAATAAAATGTGATAAAGCCATACAATGAAATATTATTTAGCCATAAAAAGGAATGAAGTACTGATCCATGCTACAATATGGATAAAACTGGGCTAAGTGAAAGAAGCTAAATCAAACAGACCACATATTATATGATTCTATTTATATGAAATATCCAGAATAGACAAATCCATAGAAACTGAAAGTAAATTAGTGGTTGCTAGGGTATGAGTTGGAGGTGAGAACAGGGAATGATTGCTAATGGGTTTATTTGGGGGAAGATTAAAATGTTCTGAAATTAAACACTGGCAATGGTTGTATAACTCTATACATGTACTAAAATACACTGAACTGTATACTTTAAAAGGGTGAACATTATGATATATAAATTACATCTCCATAAAAATAAAAAAAAAACATCTTTTACAGCTCCAAAACAGAGTAGGAAAATATAGCTCCAAAGTAGAGTAAGGCCTCTCTCAGCTTTGGAGATGAACTTTATATACAATTGATAAAGGATAAAGGTTAATCAGCCTTTTCTAAAACATTATTTCATGCGAACCTGGTAAAACTATCCTGATGTAAGAAAAACTTGGCTACTCGCTTAACAAGAACCCTTCATTTCTTTATGGGTTATAATGCTTATAATCATCGTACCTTTTGGGGGGAATGTTAATGGAACCCAGGGCCTAGTGCATATTATGCAAATGCTCTGCCACTGAGCTGTATCCCCAGACCTTTCTGTCTTTAGACAGAAACTCCAGTGGTGCAATCAGTTAGTGTACAGTACTTATATCTTGAGACAGATTTTTGCTAAATCCTCAGGCTGGCTTAAAATTTTTAATCCTCCTACCTCAGCCTCCTTAGTAGTGGGATTACAAGTGTGTGTCAGTGCACTGGCAAACCATCAAATCTTAAAATTACTCCAACAACCAGCTGTCTCACGTCAAGATTCATTTCTACGAATGTATAACTGCCTGTATGAGATGTAACGTAGGGTAGAAGGATGGCAAGCAAAGGCAAGAGGGCACTCAGCCTAGAAAGCAGGATGCGCAGAGCTATCCTACAGAGAAAGAGGAACGATGCCAAAAATGTACCTGTGACAAGTAAAGTGGTACCTTGCTTCACCAACTCAGTTCCTGGCATGATTCTGGTTGTAAACCAAATTGGATGAGAACTGAATCAAATTCCCCCATAAGGTCAGTATTAAACCTAACCGCGGAATTTGATCTGGTTCTCATCCAGTTCAGTTTGTGACCGGAAATAAGTTCATGAACAGAGGTACCACTGTAACTGTTTCTCAGCTTGTCAGTATCTAA